CGAAGACCCCAGTGGGGGTGCCCGCATGCGTCCGCCACACCCAGCACAGCGTTTCGTGGCCCCATGGGGAGCTCCACCGAGGGCCCCAGTGGGGGTACCCGCATGCGTCCGCCACACCCAGCAAACGGCTTCGTGGCCCCATAGGGAGCTCCACCGAGGGCCCCAGTGGGGGTGCCCGCATGCGTCCGCCACACTCAGCACAGCGCTTCTTGGTCCCATAGGGAGCTCCACACAAGGCCCCAGTGGGGGTGCCCGCATGCGTCCGCCACACCCAGCACAGCATTTCGTGGCCCCATAGGAAGCTCCACCGAAGGCCCCAGTGGGGGTGCCCGCATGCGTCCGCCACACCCAGCACAGCGTTTCGTGGCCCCGAAAAAAAAATATACACCTGCACTGCCCTGGTCCCAGGAACGATTTGTTTTTTTGTATCTGGCGCAAATGGTTATCAACGTCATCGATTGTAAGCTATGTGCCAGCAGTTGCATGGTCAAATAAGATAGTCTGGTTTGGCGGGCATGGGGCTTCGGTCCAGCGCGTCGAACCAGGAGGTCTGTGTGTCTGCGCATGCCACTGATTGGCCAAGGGGGGTACAAACTTGTTTACAGTTGTGCGCAGCCTCCTCCTCCGCCTTCCTCCTCTCCGTAGCCTTTTTGGTTCAAGCTCGCAGGGCGTTGCTTGCCATTGCAGATCGCTTGCGTTCAATCCCGGTCAGGGGTGCACCGCCGTTGCCCAATCCCGTTCGCCTTCGCTCATCATGGCTCCTGGTTTCTCCGCGCCGGTGGACGTCGAACACTGCTCCTTAGTCAAGAAGGTGCCTCTGCCTGCCAAGACGGGCAATGATGAAGTTGACCGCCGCAACAAGGATGAGTATGAGGATTTGGTGGAATGCATCGACATCATGGTGGCCTTCCCGCAGACCCGCCCGGGTTGCGTGCGGGAGCTTCGTAAGATGAGGCGTGAGATCGAGGCGAAGAAGTCGCAGTCGCAGGGCAGCTTGGCCGCGTTTGCGGCAACAGGCACCACCCTCGGCCAGTTCATCAAGAAGAACGAGGTATGGTGCGTCATGTTCTTGGCCACCCGCGCCGGCATCAGCGCGGAACAGCAGGCCAACGCGAAGGAGTACGACAAGGACGCGTTGTACCAGCAGTTCCAGTTTGTGCTCGGCGCCTCGCTGTCCTTCAGGATCCCGAAGGAGTGGAAGTACATCTCGTTCGCAACTGCGCACATGGGCCACCGCATCGGCCAGACAGGCAAGCGGCAGGAAGTTATGCAGGATAGCTCTTTCGTGGACGCGGCGAACGGCAAGCTGCACTGGGAGCAAGGCGTGTACGCAGGCAAGTACAACGACAAAGACGTGATCATTATGATCGTGCATACCCCGACGGGTCACACCGCCGAGATCGCAGAGGATGAGGGGCTCGACAAGAGTTGGGGCATCGCGAACAATTTTTCTGACTTCACTGCGTGCTTTGTCAAGGGTAGGCACCAATCCGTCAAGTGCCACAAGTTCTTCGCGAAGAAGAAGGGTCCGAATGCGCTCGCCTGCTGGTCGGGGAAGCCAGGCAAGGACGTTACCGACAGGGCGAAGAAGCTCTTGACGGATGCGCAGGCCGGCGTGGCGGTCGCGTCCACCGAGGCGGTCGAGCAGGTCCAGACGGCTTTGGATGCGCCGCAGGGCAAGAAGAGGAAGGATGCCGCCGCTGAGGCGCGCGCTAAGCTCGAGGCGAATGCCGCCGAGTTGAAGAGAAAGCGGGTCAGCGATGTCAAGCGTGCTTCGTGAGTGCGCTGCGGGCCAGCCGCGATGCCATGTAGTTGGCTTCTCTTGCGCGGGAGGGCGCACAGTCGTCCAACCTGCCTGCACCGGGGATCTTTGTTGTTAAAGTGGCCGTCTCAGGGGCGAGGGGGTTATACAGTGTGCAGGCGGCGCGGGCGAGCCCGCGAGTTGTGCTTCGCATAAGAGGGGACTCACTCGGACGTTCGTCTGGGAAAAAGAATCCAGGACTGCTAGGCTCTTGCTTCTTTCTGCCTGCACGGGCGCGCGCCGGTCGGCCGGCCCAGGGAGGGGCGTGGGCCCCAGAAAGAATATCGGTGTATGCGTGCCAACTTCGTGACGCTTCGCGCATCCCCGCCAGCCCATCCAGGAACGACGCCCAGGCGAGTTGAGGTGATCAGGGAAGTGCGGGATCGGAGCACGGGATCGCCGAGCCGTGCGGGGGAGGGAGGAGGAGCAGGATACTGGATGGATGGATGGGGGAGTGGGTAGAAGGATGATGCATAGGATGAGGAGGAACACAAGGAGGAGTAACATGAGAAACATGAACCGTCTTGGGGCCCTCCGGAGCCGTCTTGGCCTCGGGAGCCGTTTGGAGCCGTCTTCGGGCCCTCTGGAGCCCTCTTGGTGCTCCAAGAGGCTCCCTCTGGGGGCCCTGCGGGAGTTTTCTCAGGGCCTTAAGAGGCCCCCAAGGGCCCCCAAAAATCCCAGAAAAATCCCAGACTTGACTAAGACGGTGTCTGGGATTTTTCTGGGATTTTTGGGGCTCTCTTGGAGCCCTCTTGGAGCCCTCTGGGGGCCCGTTTGGGGGCTCCCTGGGCCCTCTTGGGGGGCTCCTTGGGTTCCCTCTTGGGGGCTCCTTGGGTCACCTCTTGGGGCCTCCATGCGATCGCGCACGGCCCACCCAAGGAGCCACGTCTTGGGGCCTTTCTGGAGCCCTTTGAGGGCCCTCCTGGAGCCCTCTTGGCGTTCCAAGAGGGCTCCCAGAGGGACAGAAGAGGGCCCGAAGAGGGGACGGGGGACGGGGGGCGGGCCAGGTGATGATGAGAAAGGGTGACAGAGGGTGGGATAGTCTAGGAGGGGCGCGTAGTCAGGGCAAGGAGGGCGAGGTGGAGGGATTGGGAGATCGGCTCATTACGGCGAGGTCGCGGGATGCACTTCTATGGTCGAGCACTGTGCGTGGCAGATTTGGCGGACAGATGAAGTTTGCCCGAACCGGTGTCAATCTTTCGATCTCGCACCTAAATGTGTTGACGGAGATCGTGCGGGGGCATGGAGGAGGGGCGGGCGGATAAGGGGGCGGGCGGCGGGGGGCAGTTGGAGGTTTGAGGAAGCAAGGAAAGAAACGAGCTCGCGTGGACAGCATCGGCAGTAAGCGAATCGTCACCCTGAGGGGGGCCGTGCGCACCTTGTTCTCTGCTAGCCGACGCATGCTTTCTCATCGATCGGAGTGGAAAGGTCCGGCGGCAATGCGGTGACCCAGGGGTCGACGCTGGTGGGGGGCCGCAGTGAAAATTCTTGCTGGCTTTTTTGTTGTTTTCATTTTCTCCCTTACCCAGGGGCCCAAAAAGCAGTCATTCCAGGTCCCTGGAGGTTTCGACTGGTCCCTGGACCCCCCAGTGCGTTCCTTGGAATCAGTGCGCATCCGGGGAAGCCCCTGCATTCTCTTAAAGGCTCATCGCCGTGAATCACAGAAATACCAAGAGATTTTGGCAGCTACCTGGTGGACGACGACTCCCTGGGGTTCGGATGGGGCGCACGGGGGCCTCCGTGGGGCTCCCGTGAGGCTCGCGTGGGGCCCCCGTGGGGCTCCTGTGGGGTTCCCGTGGGGCTCCCGCGGGGTTCCCGTTGGGCTCGCGTGGGGCTCGCGTGGGGCTCGGCCATGGAGCTCCCGTGAGGTTCCCGTGGGGCTCGCGTGGGGCTCGCGTTGGGCTCGCCTGGGGCTCGCGCGGTGCTCCCGTGGGGCTCGCGTTGGGCGTGCGTGGGGCTCCCGTGGGGCTCCCGTGGGGCTCCCGCGGGGTTCCATTGGGGCTCGCGTGGGGCTCGCGTGCGGCTCGCCGCTGGCGTTCCGTGGGGTTCGTGTGAGCTCCCACCTACGCTTCAAGTTGGCATTCAGTCCTGGCTGCCAGCTGATCCTCCGACCCTCAGCCTCCAGGTGGGGTGAAAGAGCCTCAGCCTCATTTGGATCACTTCAGGCATGCGATTTTTCGTTTGGCTTCGGACCAGAGGATTTGTTAATCGTGCCCCGTGGGTGTCGTTGGGATCTGACCACACAACGCCAAATGATATATTAACCAAGCATGGCCGCGAGAATTGCTCGAGTGAGTTAGAAAGAGGATTAAGTTACCCACTCGGCACGTCTCCCGATCTCTCTGGACTGGCCCTGTTTCACGCGTGCTTGCGCGTCCTATTCCAAGCCCTACGGCGAAGCCTCGGGCAAGCAGTCTGGCCATTCCTGCTCGGTACTTGGAGCACCGCTCAGGCTTGCGGGAGGTCTGTCTCGCATTCTGGGCGTCCTGGAGAGCTCCAGCTTGGGCTTTCTGTAAGTCCCCCTCAACATCCTGAAAGTACCCACCAGCCAGGACTCCCCGAAAGTTCCGTTCCACTTCGGCTCCCTGCAGGGCCAGATCATCCGGACACTCCTGTTCGTTACTTGGAGCGCCGCCCGGGCTTTGGGGAGGTCTGCCTCGCACTTTGTGCGTTCTGGAGAGCTCCAACTCGGGCTTCCTGAAGGCCCTCCTCGGCACCGTGAAGGTCCCACACGCGGGCTTCCTGCCGTCCCACGCTGGCTCCATGCGGGGCTCGGGACTCCTCTGGGGGTACTCTTGGCGGCTCTCTGAGGGCTATCCTGAACCGCCCCGAAGCCCCAGGAGGGCTCCGAGAAGGTCCACGGGGGGATTCCCGAAGGCCCCAACGGAGTATATAACCCGAGACGCTGGTTATATAGCCCCCTGGGCCCCTTTTTCAGCCCCTCTTGGACTCGTCTGGGGGCTCTCATGGGGGCCGCCTGAGTGGAAGCCCCTCCGAGACTCTGGAGTGGCCCGAGAGGGTCCGACAAGGGCCCAAGACGGCCCACAATGGGGGCACAAGAGGACCTTCACAAAACAACACCGTGGTTAGCCGTTTTGGCTCGAACGCATCAGTTGCATCATATTTTATTGCTACCCGCACCTGCGCAGCTTCAGCTCGACGGATGGCTGCGAGCTCCTCCTCTGGTGGAGGCGGGGGCATGGTGGAGGGCAGTTGTTTGGAGACGCTGCTCGCCGACGAAGTGCAGGAGCCAGATCACAAGAAACTGAAGATCAACGAACCGAAGACTGAATATTCCCCAGTTCCGGAAGAGGGGTATGTCGAGTTGAACACCCCCATGGGGAGCGAGGTGACTTTCGTGGTGCACAAGGCGACGCTGCAAAGGATTCCTTTGCCGCAGGCTGGGCCGTGGCAGCTTGTCTTTTCGAAGGACGGCTCCGGTGCCGCAGTCAACGACGGGGGCGACTGGATTTTGACGTTGCAGAATGAATTTGGTCGCACGCTCGTGACCGATGGGGACGGCCAGTTCTACGTCGAAGAGAGGGGCAAGGCTCACCCGTGGCATTTGGACACCAAGAGATCGCTGTGCGAGGCGATGACCATCAGTTTGGCAGTTGGCGATGTTGATACGCGTCAGAAGCACCAGGTCTATCGGCTGGAATGGACCCGGGGTGGCATGCATTTCTTCTGGGATGCCCTGACGCTCCACACAAGCATGAAGCTGAACACCAACGAGAAGAAACGTACTGTCTGGTTGTACAGGCAGAAAAATGGCTGGAGGAAAGCGTTCAAGCAGGCGACGGGGACGACCGTGCATTACACTGCAGGGTCTTCTAAAGCAAACAAGGAGGAAGATGACCGCGCAGAGGACACAATACGACTTCCATCGGGCAGTTTGTCTACGTATGGTTTGTTGCACGTTTTCCTTACGAGCGCTACCTCCCAGGCGCACCAGGCTGGTGGTCTCAAGATGGGGTCAGCCAAGCAGGCCGCGGGATCCCTGTTCAGATCGCTGGTCAAAGCAAGCGTGTACCAGCGCAAGGTGCTGACCATCCAGGTCAAATTGCAGAGCTCGTGGCGCCCTCCATGGCCTCTCCTGGAAGAGGCGATGGGGATGCCGACAAAACGCCTACCCTGGTGAGCAAGGCCCGCCTTGGATTCTGCATCGGCGCGCGCGCATCCTTAGTCGTGCCTGCGCGGTGCGGTCGCCGATCCAAGATCCAAGGCGGGATTTGCCAGAACCTGCGTAGGGTTGCATGCGGCGCCCACTTCCAGGTCGCTGGCGACTTCACCGTCGAGGTCACGCAGGGCCGCATGTCGATCAAGCAGGTCCGGGACCACAAGGCCATCAAGGATAACGACAGCATGTGAGAGGAGCTCTGGACGCGCCTTGACGTTGCTTGCGGCCGCGGCAACGACGAGATCGACTTCGTAGACTTCGTCGTTGTCCTGAGCGGCATGCAGCAACTGGACTGCGTGCTCAACCAAGTGGTCTGGGCATGCGCCCGGCAGATCGAGATGTACGCGCAGGGCGCTCTGAAGAAAGGCACTGACAAGGAGGCCCCCCTGCAGGTCGAAGTTGCGCCGCTCATCGACATTGCGTGGTGCCGGGAGAGGTTGGACCAGGAGCTCCAGAAGCACCTGCATGCGTGCAAGTGCGCGTCTGCTTCCCTTCGCAATTTCACCGTGGCGACTGATAAGGCAAACGTTGGTGGGCCCAGCTTGCAGAACTCCGTCGTCGTGCTGCCCGATGGGCAGGCGCTCGTCTTGCCGCCTCAGGCGCGGGCGATTGGGGGACAGGGCGATCTTTCTGTTGGGGGATGAAAACACCCAGAGGCTGTGCATATGCAAAACGCACGCCAAACGTATGCACAGCGCAAGAGGGGGTGTGCATATCAAAAAACCAGGAAACCTGGCATGCACACAGTGGACCAGCAACCAACCGTGCATTCGAAAAACGCACAAACTGTGCATACGCACAACCACACAGGGTGTGCATAGAAAAAACGCAAGCAAAACATATGCACACCTTCCGAAGTTCTGTCTCCCCCCCCCCACAGGGAGATCCACTTGTCCCCCTGTCCGCCCCGTGCCTGGATAGGTGTGCTCTCCGTTCTCTGCGCCAAGGGCATATTCTGCATCAGAGCGGCAGGATATCGTCAACGACGGGAACCGTCGCCACAAGGAGTGGTCCCAGCGGAAGGCCCCAGGCAAAAAGGGCATCAAGCACGTTTTCCGACCGAAGAAGAGGCACCGCACCAGCGTGTTGACAGCCCTGAAGAACATGGATCGCCAGCTGAGGGTGGGCACGAAATTCGACGGGCTCCGCTTCGTCGTCCGAGTCTCCGACGAAGAGACGTGGAGCGATGCCAATTGGCGCAACTGGCCTGGGCTTTTAGTTTCGTCGGACCAGGGTGGGGACATGCTATCGGCGGGGGACTGCATGCTCCGCTACCTTGACTGCAACGCCATATAGACGTGGGACTGGTCTCACGGTGCTCAGCGAGACTTGACTCTGACGTACCAGGCCCACGGCGTATGGAAGTACGCCTTGATATTCCTCGTGTGCATCAACGTCTACTCCGGCCCCGACCAGGACGAGGGCATGCGCTTCGAGCAGCTCACCGATGCCATGGATCACTTCTTCGAGCACTACAAGGCGGACTCCTTCTTGTTCCAGTCTCGCGCCGACGCCATGCTCCGCGAGTTAGGCGACGCCGTCCAGGTCGAGGAGGGCGAGAAGAACATCTACGAGGCGCTGTGGCGATACCTGCGCGACGGCGCCCAGAATTACAAGAAGCAGGACCGCATGAAGATGGCCCAGTGGATGGAGTGGAGGAATCGCGCCCACGAGCTATACCAGCGATGGGAACAAGAGAGGTTCAAGCGAGAGTACGTCGCCCTCGAGTGCGGCATGCTGGACAAGAAGGCCGCGGCGGCCGTGGACAAGATGCCGGCAGGCGTCAAGTCGCACGCTGCGGCGCTGACCACCACCAGCTCCGCCGCCACCCAGGCGGACACCAAGCTGCTCCGCGCCAGCACGGCGAATAACTTGGCGATGTCGGCGTGCTTCATGGAGACGGAGAGGAGCAAGAGGATCATCGCCATCATGGCGTTGTTGCCCGAGCCCTTGGCGACCTGGCAGGGGCAGAGCGCGAAAGTCTGCAGGGACGTGACTGCCAACAGGAAGTGGGTCTTGGATGAGATGTCGCATGGATTTGCCAAGCATCAGCTCGCCATCCTCAATTGCTTAGTGAAGACAGGCATGGCTAAGAATTTGGGTTTCATGCGCCTCGCCGAGCTCCGCGCGCTGGAGAACGAGGACGAAGGCCCCATCGAGATCGAGGATGAGTTCGCGCAGCTGGCGGGCGACATCTGCGCAGGTTTGGTTGCTAGGCGCCGTCGCCGTCTCACTTTCATGACGAACATGTGGCCGAACCGCGCTGTTATGGCCATGGCGGGGGGCCCGGAGTCGGCCCGGATTGCGCAGCAGCTGGAGTTGGACTACAAGGTTTTCGGGGAGGTCGCTGACGCGCCCGACAAGGGCGACAAGCTGAAGGAGCAGGTGAGGAGGTCCGCGTTCCACCCAGCAAGGAGGTCGTGGACCTGGTGGAGGAGAGGTGGAGCGGCATCCTCTCGAGCGTCATGATCGAGGAGATCAACAACATCCAGAAAAACAATGGCCAATGCCGCGGTTCCATGAAGTTCCGGAGGCCTGAGAGGGGCTTGGCAGCTACTCTGTCGTCCACTGTGCTCACCGAGCGGAACAAGTACACGCCCGTAGTGCCGAATGTTCCCGTGCCCAGGTCGACGCCCACGTTGGTTGAGCAGAACGCGTTCGGCAAGACCAGGGAGGAGTCGTGGCTCGACAAGCTCGCCATTGCCAGCACGAAGCAGGCGCCTCCATATTGGAGCCCGACTGCTGAGAACGTGGGGCAACCAGGGACAGATGCAGCGTGCTGGCGAGATGCTCGTGATCACAAGCGCATTGGGGACTTGGAGAACTGCTTCATGGGTTGCTTCTGCGATTACAGGCACGCCATCATTTTCAAGAGAGCTGGCGGAACTAGGCACAAGGGTTTCGATTGGCATTTCCCCTTGTTTCACTTCCAGGACTCTGGCGTCGCGGCGATGCCTTGCAGTCTGTTGCCAGTGCCAGGGCACCCCTCGAAGAATTACGTCGTCTTCCCCGAGGCGGCGGATGAACCAGAGTTCCTCAGCGTCTTCGACTGGGAGGGCCTCGTGGCCATGCCCGTTCGTTGGCGCAGCCCTGCGTACCAGGACAAGCATTTGCCGAAGGCGAAGTGGGAAGCCGGCGTTCGGCTGTTCGCTGATGGGAAGGCCGAGCCCATGCAGTTTGTCGCAACCAGGGCTGCTTTCTGGGATCTCCCCTGCGGCACCCTCAGGAAGATCGCTGGCAATATCGGGTTGGCTCCTCCGGACAACCCCAGCTTGTATGAGGTTGTACTGTACATGGTCCAGGAGATCTTGAAACTCAGCGAGGCCGATGCTGCCGACGTCGTCGCTCAACGCCTTCGCTACGACAGCAAGGGCGCCGTGGACGAGACCGAATCCATCATCATGAATTGCGACGAGGCTGCGCAGTGCTTGGCGCAGCCAGACGAGCGGCTTGTCCGCAACGAGCAGAAGGAGATCCAGAAGAGGGTGGATGAGAGATCAGCCTTCGAGGTCGATTTCCAGGAGGCTGCGCAGCGGCGCCGGGCTGCGTCGAAGGACGGGGCGACGCCGCCACGTGCGCGCGCAGACCTTGGCCAGACCCACCTCGCATGAAGCGGAAGGGGGAGCGAAGGGGGAACGGGCTAGGGGGCGAAGGCATGGAGGGAGGGAGGAGGGCAAAGGGCGGGGGGGTGGGTACTGGAAGGAGTGGGCGGGTACATATTCACATACTTGCTCGGTGGTGAAAGTATCATTGGGGATGGGCCTGGCCATGGTCCGCATTCGCGCGTGGATGGTGCCCCCGTGAGGACGGGGGCAAGCCGGCGAACAAGGCCCCGAAGGGCGTGCCGAAACTGGACAAGGGCAAGTTGGCCATGGCAGAGCAGCGCCAGGCCAAGGTCTACATGCCTCCAGGCGGGTACCTGTGGAAGTCCAGGGCGACGTCGTCATGGAACGGCAGAGTGCCTCCGTTCGGTGCCCATTGCCGCACCGTCGGCAAGCCGAACGCCCTCTTCTGGGTGATATGCAGGTGTTGGGAAGATTACTGCCGCATGAAAGGCTGCGCCATTGCGGACGTCGGTCTGCAGGGCTACGAGGCATCTGTAGTAAAGGCTCTTGATCTGTCTTAGATTGTCGACGGCACTTTGCCGTGGCAGCGCTCGGGTTTCTAGGGTGGCTCACGCGCGGGGTCGCGTGCGCTTGCGGGGTGCCCGCATTCTCATCTCGAGGATTGGATGGATAAGAGAACGTGGGGGAAAAAACGCTGCTCGTGCGTGCGCCCGCGCTTGGCCACGCTCGTCCGCCAGGGTCATGGCAGGGCCAGGCTGAACCAGGAGCCGAGACGAGGACGGGGAGGGAACAGGGAGGGAAGGAGGGCTGGGAGGGGCGGCAAGGCTATGGCCGTGCAAGTTCACGCAGCAAACGATTATTTAACTTCTTGACGCTACGCGCATCCCCACCAGCCCATCCAGGAACGACGCCCAGGCGAGTTGAGGTGATCAGGGAAGTGCGGGAGCAAAGCATGGGATCGCCGAGCCGTGCGAGAGAGGGAGGGGGAGCAAGATACTGGATGGATGGATGGGGGAGTGGGTAGAAGGATGATGCATAGGATGAGGTTGAAAACAAGGAGGAGTAACATGAGAAACATGAACCGTCTTGGGGCCCTCCGGAGCCGTCTTGGGGCCTTCGGGGGCCGTTGGGAGCCGTCTTCGGGGCCTCTGGAGCCCTCTTGGTCCTGCAAGAGGCTCCCTCTTTGGGCCCTGCGGGAGCTTTCTCAGGGCCTTAAGAGGCCCCCAAGGGCCCCCAAAAAATCCCAGAAAAATCCCAGACTTGACTAAGACGGTGTCTGGGATTTTTCTGGGATTTTTGGGGCTCTCTTGGAGCCCTTTTGGAGCCCTCTGGGGGCCCGTTTGGGGGCTCCCTGGGCCCTCTTGGGGGGCTCCTTGGGTTCCCTCTTGGGGGCTCCTTGGGTCCCTTCTTGGGGCCTCCATGCGCTCTTGCACGGCCCACCCAAGGAGCCCCGTCTTGGGGCCCTCTTGGAGCCCTCTGGGGGCCCTCTTGGAGCCCTCTTGGTGCTCCAAGAGGGCTCCCAGAGGGACCCAAAGAAGGCCCCAAGAGGGCTCCAGGAGTGTTCCACCCCCCCTCAAGAGGGCCGAACAACCTGTCACGAACAAGGCCCTTTTTCGTGACAGGTTGTTGGGCCCCCTGGGGGGCTCTTGGAGCCCCCTGGGGCTTTGTGGGGCTTGCGTGAGGCTCGTGGAGGGCGTTGGATGGCCGGCTTAGGGGCCGCGCGGGGTCCGGGGGACACTCCCGCGAGACATTCGTGGGGATCGTGAAGGCCCATGTGGGACTCACGTTGATTGGTGGACCTCATTTGCAATTCCATACCACGGTGCATACAGGGCGCCTTTGAACAACTCACAAACTACCCCAAAGCTTTGTCCCTCCAAATGCGCAGCTTGTGGAGGGAGGGGCTCATGCAGGGCCCCTTGGATGTCGCGTAAGATCTCTCGGGGCGCCTTTAGGGTTAGCGCGGGGCTCCCGTGTATGTCGCGCGAGCTTCGCGACCTTAGACGCATGGAGGGCGACCTGCGCAATGAGATGACATCAGCGGCCCGGGACGAGATGCTCTTTTTCACTTACCGTAATTCCGCTCACTCGACGTTCGACCTGCGTGGGAGTTGGTGCGCGGTGTATGTTGAAATGTGGTACTGAAGTTATGCTTGTTTCTTGCGTGTCGACGGAACGACCATAGGTCTCTTCAGGCGTTCTACTTTCCAAGGCCGTCTTCGTAATATTATCTACCTTCACATGCTCACGCAATCGCCGCCGCAAGATACGGCGATAACCCTGCAATTGTGGTTAAGAGTGGGGGTGGGGGGCATCACGGCGCCTTCCGTGGGGGCACCGTGAATCTTGACACAAACATGTTGCGGGCGCGCCGTAGCCTCCCCGTCAAGGCGCAACAACCGTGGCTACTCAGAGTCCTCCAAATCACATGCGCGTCCGCGCGCGTGTACTATGGGAGGTCCCCGTGCCGCAGCCATGCGCGCATCGACTGTCGCCGCCTCCCCTGGGGCAGGTTGGGGGGACCTCCCAAGTCATCTTCAGCTGCGATGCCGCGTCTCCCCCATAGTCGGTGCTCCTGGTTGGCCAGGACACCGAAGGCGTTGTTGGTGCCCTCCTATGTTAGCTATGCTTTAATATCCCTCACGAGGCTTGCAAAGAGCCCCCGAGACAACCCGAGAGGACATTCCAAGCAAACCTTTAAATTCTCATACAAAACCCCACTGGAGGGTGCCGTGGGTAGCGCTTTCCAGGATGCATTTCGTTTGGCCCTTTGGAGGGCGCTCCAAGAATCGAGCATGGGCCCCCCCGTGGCTTCCCAGATTTACCCGACGGACCCCCAAACGAACATCAAGGCGACCCCCGAGGTGGCCCAATGGGAGCCCCAAGGAAAGCCACAAGGGCCCATTCAAGAGGCCCCCAGGAAACGTTTCCCAAGAGAGGCCGTTCAGAACACGCGCCGGGTACTTCTGCCCAAGTCAAAGAGAAGTCTGAAGCGGGAGCATCGTCTGTGAGTGCGCGGAAAGAAAATCTCAAGCCAGAACCCCCTCCGATGGGGCCCGCACTTCATTTCCTCAGACTTAGGGGGTCTCCCAGTATCTGAGCCTGGGTCCCTCTGGCTCACTGAGGCCAGAAGCTGCGAGAAGCTGCGACAGTTACACAAATTAAAGCTGACAAACTAAGTTCCACCACTTTGCCGGCGCCTCTGGCGACTCAGGCGACGCGTCCCTCGCACGACGCCTTGAGCCGAACCTAAGCTCGGTCGGGAATGGTGTCGGTACACTCCGTCTGTCAACGCACAAGGTTTGCGAGATTCGGGGGGCTGCGGCAGAGGCGAGAGCAAAAAAAACAAAAAACTTCGGACGAGGGGAAGGGGGAGGGGAAAGGGAGGACAAGGAGGGCGGGGGAGGTGCCAGCAACGCGCAGGTTCGGCCTAGTACAGGACGAAACCCCTGGTACAAAGAGTTGTCGGCACCAAGCGTGGGGGGTGCCAAGAGAGGACGACGAGGGGGGCGAGAAGTGGAGAAGGTGAGATGACAAAGAGCTCTTGACAGGGAGGCAGAGCAGTGGTGAAGGGCGAAAAGAGGGAGGGGGAGGAAGACACATGAGGAAGCGTAAGGGAAGACAGAGGAACGCGAGGTGGTGCGGATTACCGGCCAACAAAAAAAATCGCCGGCCCAACGGGCCAGGGCGTGCTAAGATCTCCGGTAACTGGTTAACAGTATTAACAGTATTTCTAGTTCGCGCGCGCGGGGCGGCCCCTGGGGGTCCCCCGGCGAAAAGTACCCCGACCAACGCCCGGTCGCCGCCCGACCGCCGCCCGACCGCCGCCCGACCAAGTCTACTCAGAGATGGTTTTCCTTCTGGGTGCGGCCTCTCAGGCTCCCCAGAGCGCGCTCAGAGTGCCCCAAGAGGCCCCCAAGACTGCCCAAGAGGCCCCCGAGACGCCCAAAGAGCGCTCGAAGACGCCGAAGATGACCCCAAGACGGCCCAAAAGGCCCCCAAGACAGCCCAAGAGGCCTCCAAGACGCCCCAAGAGCCTTCCAAGAGGCCTCCGAAGAGAGCCCCAAGAGGCCAAAATCGTTGATTTTCATTGGTTTTGTTCGATGTTTTTTGTGTTCTGGCTTTTTCGGCTTCCGGACGCTCCAAGACGGCCCAAGAGGCCCCCAAGACCGCTCCAAGACGGCCCACGAAGCTCCCAAGACGGCGCCGAAACGACCCAAGAGAGCCCTCAAGACGGCCCAAGTGCCGCCCAAGACGGACCAAGAGGCCCCAAGACGGGCCCAAGAGGGACTCAGGAGGGATACCGAGAACTCAAAAATGGAGCCCTCCGTCCCAGAAGGCGCCCAGGAGGTCCCAAAGAGGCCCCAAGAGGCCTCCAAGAGGCCCCAAGATGTCGCCAAGAGGCCCCAGGAGACTCCCAGGAGGCCCAAAAGAAGCCCCAGAAGGCTTCAAACATGTCTCCCAGGCGCCCCCGAACGGCCTCTCAACAGACCCCAAGAGGCCCCCCAAAGAAGCATCTTGACGACGACTCTATTTCGCCCCATCGAGAGACGACCCCCAGGGAACTGCTTCACCATCAAAACTCCCCACGCAACGCGTCCGAACGACACCCGCCCCCAAGAGCGCAACATGGGCAACGAACACACAGACAAAAACCAGCGATGCCATATCACTGGCCGGCGGAATGAGCGAAGCGATTCAATTAAGCATGCAGAACGATCTGCCAACCAACGACCTAGACTAAAACCTGTAACACAACAAAAAACCTCAAGCATCCTAAACAATCAAGTCAAACCACGTTCTGCGCCTTCACACAAAGCCTAAACCCCCCGACCTAACTACTAAATATGAAATATGTACATCAGAAGAACACACGCCCGTCAAATTTGGCACACCTTTTGTGCTGTCACCAGCACCACTGACACGAACGCCAATGAGGCACCGAGGGCGACTTTGAGCATCAACGGCTCCCCGAAGAGGACAACCTGCCACGTCAAGGAGAAGACCACATCCAGGTAGCTGATCAAACTATTCAGGGTTGCGGTCCCACCCTGCGCGCCCCAATTCATAGACCACTGCGTGCAGTACCCAGCAGCACCAACTGCCATCACCCAAAGCAGGCAGACTGGTGAACAAAGCGAGGTGAACGCCCGAGGGCCTTCGATCACCAGCGCCGCGGCGCCGCACATGAGAAAGCCGATGACGCCAGTCAGCCATGTCATCAGGTCAGCCTGGTGCGCAGTCGTCGTTGGAATATTCACGTCCGAGGCTTCCGTGGCCTTGCCCAGCCGCTTCAGGGAGATGTTCCTCATTGCGTTGCAACCAGACCCCAAGAGCCCAAACACTATAGCCGAGGTTTGGCCGAGGTGTCCCTGGTAATGCTTACCGCCTCCACCTTCGTGCGCGCAAGCGACGAGACTTACCCCGCCTGTGCACGCGAGCAGGGCGGCGCTCTCTGACCACCCCCAAGCCTCGTCCAGCATGAAACGAGCTAGCACGCAAGTGATGACTGGTGACGCATACTTGATCATAGTTGCCTCTCCTACGGCCATCGACGTCACGACAACAGAGAAGATGCCGAAATTCAAGCTGCCCGCCACACATCGTACTATAATCCAGAATCTTCTGCTGCTGCCAATGCTCCAAATGTCGTTCGCTGGACTCAAGACGCTCCCCAAGCTCCAACTTGAAACTACGGTCTGGATCGTTAACCGCACTGTTGCAGTAACTAAGGCCTGGCAGCCGGCACGTCCGGCCATCTTCACTGCCACCGACTGGCTCGAGTTGGACAGAGACGAGATGATCAAGGCGAAGACCCCCATCAAAAAGCGTGCCCTGCCGCTGTCGATGAGGCTGACGGCGCCATTCTCCTCGTGATCTCCCTCTTGTGGATCGATGTCGGATAGGTCACCTTCCTGCGTGTCAACCTCAGTGGATATCTCCCCCTTCTCGGCATCAATGAGTGCAAGGGATGCCTCCCCGGGGCAATCAATATCGACGTCACGGACGGACGCCATCGAAATTCGGGGTGCAGGCCTTCGGGGTGTAGGCCTGCTGCTTTCTTCTGACAGAGCCAACTGCCTCGAGCCAAAACGGCTGCGGAATGGGGCTCACACTTCATGATAGTAATCCGACGCGGTCACTGGCAGACTTGTGACTGTCGTCCCTGTTTGGCCCCTTATGCCTGAATCGGGAGGAGGTCTCGAGCGGGAGCCCAGCCGGTGAATGACTCGCGAGGACGTCTCGACCGGGAGCCCCGAGCGGGAGGCTGGTCTGTAAGAGAGTCGCGAGGAAATCTCGAGCGGGAGCCCCCTCCCCCGTGGGGTCCGCACTTGACGTTAGTATTCCGAGGAGGTCGTCGGCCTACCAGGTATGCCAGAAGAGAGCAGCGCAGAACGGCAGACACCAGCGGAGAGCAGCAGAGAGCGGCAGAGAGCGGCAGAGAGCAGCAAGAATCGGCGCGCGCGCCCCTGCAAAGGGGAGGGGGGGAGGCGGGGGGGAAGAGATGCAGGAGGGCGAGGAGACAGGAAAAAAGCCTCCGCAATCACAAGGACGACGACGAGGTGTACTTCCAGATTAGCTTGGCAGATGCTCATGCGGGGTCCTACCGTCGGAGAAGACAAGGATTCATCTGCAAGGACCCTTAACAGGAACCCTTGCAAGAATGTCTCGCGCAAGATCGCGGTTCCAGGGCTTCAAGGGCGCAGCGCCTGGATAAACTGCGAAGAGGTTCCATGTGAGAGGGCGATTCTGAATCACTTGCAAGTAACTCTCTGGTCAAAGTGCGATTCCAGAGTAAAATGGGAGGAAATATCAGGCGGGGGTCGCTCTTCTAGTCCAGGCGCCAGGGTCGCAGTTTGAGCATAAAGTTCTCCCTGACAAGACAGCAGGGTGCGACTCCGAGGGGGAGTGGAACAATTCAATGAGGAAAACATAATGGGTTCAGCGGGGAGGGCAACAAGAATCACTCAGAAATGAACCTTCAGCCAAAAATACCGCGACGCGCTAGTCGCAGGCGCGTTAAGTTTCGCGCCCGCGCGACGTATGTGAACGTATTCCTGTGGGCGGGGGCATCTTGTTTCTCGTGTGGGCGAATCCAAGCGGGAGGTTCGCGCGAGCGGACCTAGCGGGCACGGGTCGGATGGGCAGACTTACATGGGCGGAGAGGGCGGACGGGCCCTATCCGGCGGGGAGGGCGGGCGGAACATTGAACCACAATTCGTTCGTAAAGTGTCGGGGAATCCCAAGACGAGAGCGCGATTCGTCAGCAAATTGCTGGGAGCGCCAGGGCGAGGGCACGATTGCGGAGCGGCGGGGTCGCGAATCTGAAAAACAAAGAATTCAAAAGTGACAGACAACGGCACGAGCCTTGAGAAAATCCCACCAGCCCTTTAAGGCGTGAGTGGTTTAGCGATTTCCATCTTCCAACCCTCCTTCTTCCCCTTCGTGGAGGGGTTGATCACTTTTCCCTATTAATATACACCCCCTCCCCCAGGCGACCGGCGGCCAACCAGGAACCATGATCCCACCCCCCACCATCCCGATCAAAAGCCATACTAAACGCACTCTGCCTCCAAATTCGGAGCATGCGCAACCAACCCAATGCGGACCCCACCACCATCCCTGTCAAAAAAAATACAAAGTACACTTTGGGGCAAAGTCTGGAGTCATGTTCGTGAGGCCCGCGAGCACTTTGTATTTTTGTTTGACAGGGGCGGCGGGGTTGTCAGCATATTGCCTACTGTGCACAGGGCTACCATCCCTGACAAAACACCATAGGAAATGCACCTCGCGGCTACATCCGGATCATGCGCGGCCACCCCGCGATCATTGCCAAGTGCTTTTTGACAGGGGCGCCGGGGGTGGTGGCGTATGGCCTGCTGAGCGCAGGCCCAGCAAACAATAATTGGCATTGGTTTTCGATAAGGATGGTGGGGGCCGACATGTTTACCGATGTGTGCTGTCACGTGCGCAGGCGCCACTGACACACCGTGGACGTACCCCAAACGTGGCGCACCTGGCGCGGCTGGAGTATGCGGCACACCTGGCGCACGCGGAGGCACATGGCGCATCTGACGCACCAGGCGTGCCTGGCACGCTCGGGCCCCAGGGGTGCCTGACGCGCGTGTCGCGCCTGGCACGCGTGGCGCACCTCGCCCCAGCGTCGCGCACATGGGCTTGGTGTTGGTTCCCAGTAGCTGCCCATCCAAAGACGACCGCTGAACATGCTGAGGCTCGGGTGATCCTTATGTGTTGGGAGAGCGGGTGGGAGTGAGCTAGACGGCTTGCTATCTGGAAGGTGTCTTGACCCCTCCCCATACCCCCTACCCCTGGATTTGGAAGGGGGGTCGCCAGTGGTTAGAGCGACCAAAACGGCCTCGGCGAGGAAGCCAAAATCATTGATTGTACGTAGGTTTTTGGCCACATTCCACATTCTAGTCTCCTGAAGGGGCTGGCCAAATTAAGGAGCTACCCTCCTGAGGTCAATCCTCCAAGATGGCCCCAAGATGGCCCCAATATGGCCCCCGAGGCCCTTAAGTGTGCCCCAAGACGATCCCGAGGGGTGCCCAGGAGGCCCCCAGAGGCCCCAAGAGGCCCCAAGATGCCCTCAAGAGACTCCCAAGAGAACCCCAAGACGCCCAAAGAGGCCTCGGTGAGAAGGCCCAAATCATTGATTTGACTGAGGTTTTGGCCACATTCTGGCCTCCTGGAGGGGGGGACCCTTATCAAGGAGCCCCACTCCTGAGATCGATCCTCCAAGATGGCCCCCGCACACGGCAGCCCTCTGGTCCCCATGGGAAGAGGAACAGGTCTCATTTCAAGCCTGCATGGAAGGATGGATGCATCGACCGTGCGATGGAGAACATTATCGACCCACGAACACAGAAAGGAATATCGAAACGTAAGGCATGGCAACGTTTCAAAGACACCTGATTGGGCGACGGGCAAATGCAATGCTGAATGTATCGATCTTGATGTACTGTGCCGAGGGCTGTGCTGTGCTACGCCGTGCTGAACTGCGATGTGCCATGCCGCGATTGTGCTCTATATAGCGTTGTGGATCGAGTCCTCCCTGGCATCCGAGTCCTGACCGAACTGATCTGGATCTTAAGCTCGAGCTGCCTGAGCAGATGGTAGCTGCCCCAGAACTAATCGACAGAGGGGACATGCCAGGAGGACGCGCCGCGGAACGTCCCAAGGGACGCGCCAGGCGACGTGCCAGGGACGTGCCATGGGCACGCACCGCGGGACGTGCCAAGGGGACGCGCTACGGAACGTGCCCATGGACGTGCCGCGCGACGTGCCAGGGGACGCGCCGCGCGACGTGCCAGGGGGACTCGCCACGGAACGCGCCAAGGAACGTGCCAAGGTGCATAGTTGAGTGTATCGATTTTGCTCTACCGTGCCGAGGGCTGTGCTGTGCTGGGCCGTGCTGAACTGCGATGCGCCACGCCGCGACTGTGCTCTATATAGCGTTGTGGATCGAGTCATCTCTGGCATCCGAGTCCTGACCGAACTGATCTGGAACTTAAGCTCGAACTGCCTGAGCAGGTGGTAGCTGTCCCAGAACGAATCGACAGAGGGGACATGCCAGGAGGACGCGCCGCGGAACGTCCCAAGGGACGCGCCAGGCGACGTGCCAGGGGACGTGCCATGGGGACGCACCGCGGGACGTGCCAAGTGGACGCGCTACGGAACGTGCCCATGGACGTGCCGCGCGACGTGCCAGGGGACGCGCCGCGCGACGTGCCAGGGGGACTCGCCACGGAACGCGCCAAGGAACGTGCCAAGGTGCATAGTTGAGTGTATCGATCTTGATGTACTGTGCCGACGACTGGGCTGTACTGGGCCGTGCTGAACTGCGATGTGCCATGCCGCGACTGTGCTCTATATAGCGTTGTGGATCGAGTCCTCCCTGGCATCCGAGTCCTGACCGAACTGATCTGGATCTTAAGCTCGAGCTGCCTGAGCAGATGGTAGCTGCCCCAGAACTAATCGACAGAGGGAACATGCCAGGAGGACGCGCCGCGGAACGTCCCAAGGGACGCGCCAGGCGACGTGCCAGGGGACGTGCCATGGGCACGCACCGCGGGACGTGCCAAGGGGACGCGCTACGGAACGTGCCAATGGACGCGCACCGCGCGACGTGCCAGGGGGACTCGCCACGGGACGCTCCGCGGAACGTGCCAGGCAACATGCCAGGCTGCAGTGCTAAGGGTATCGACATTGATGTACCGTGCCGACGGCTGTGCTGTGCCTGGGCGACCTGGACATGTGAAAACACGCGTTTCGCTCAAGACGTTCTCAGCACATCCTCATGCTAGACATCCGCCTGGGCGACCTGGACACGTGCAAACAAGCGTCTCGATCGAGACTTCCTCGACACATCCTCATGCTATACATCCGCCTGGGCGACCTGGACACGTAAAAACAAGCCTGTGGTTCGAGACATCCTCAACAAATCCTCATGCTAGACATCTGTTTGGGCAACCTGGAGGCGTGAAACCAAGCGTCTCGCTCGAGACATCCGCAAGACCTGGGCACGTGAAAACAAGCATTTCACGTGAGAGATTTTCTGAATTCTGGTCCCCAAGAGAGGACAATCTATAACACAAAACAAGCGGTTCGCTCCAGACATCCTCGACAAATTCTGAAGGAAAAAACGTTTCGCTCGACACATCCTCAAACATAATTTCGCCAGCCCTAGACGACCTCGTTATTTATCGCAAATACTTTCGCCGGCCCTTGAGCCGTCGGTTCTGAGGGTAAACAGCTACAAGAGAACCCTCTGCACGCGCCCTTTCCGGGAAAATACAAACTGCATCGATGCACCGTCGTGGCGACTCACGCCGGCAGGGCGCGCGTCGTGCGCACTGGCATGTCGTCGGGGCGATGGTTGATCCAATCCTTGAACTCCACGTCATCCAAGATAGGCCGGCGCTCTTCCATGGCCTTCGTGGTCCAGCAGCAAATGCACAGCCAGGTCAGGCCCCTCCCTTGGTAGCACTCCGTCAGCCTGCTGACCGCGATGACCTGGCGGATCCGCTTGCTGACGCACGCGCCCTAATCGCGCTTGAACGGGCCACGGAGGCATCCC